ACTTAATTTTAGCATGTGCATGTGAGAGGAAGAAGTTGTTAAGTCAACTCATGTTCCCTGCTCTCTTTTAATGCCTCTTCTCATGGAACTTTTCTCAGACTAAGGTGATACATTGGCTCACAGGTAAATCAAAGTGCCAATATAATCCACTTTTCCCATAGAAGCAAAATTATATTTCAGACTAAATGGTTCAGGTCCAAAACTGATGTCAGTTTTAAAGTGGAATGTATTAACATTAATTTATTTTCTTCTGAGTGTGGGATGATCGTAAATATGGTTTTGTTTAAAATTATACTAGGAATAATAGCCAAGTTGAAATTTCTAACTGCTAAAGAGATCTAAAAGCTATATACAGCCAGAAGGAATTTATTTTCTGAAGCAAATATCTAAAATTCTGGCAATGCCCAATAGCCAACATATAATGAATCACAACTGAGCTGACACTGCTTAATAGGTGTATTTTTCAGCACAAAAGCGCTTCCACATTTGATTAGTGCTGAAGGTGCATCCATATGGTTCCTATACAGTGTCATGTAGACATACCAATGTTAAATTTGAAAAAAACAGATGTAAATTGTGGGCACATGTGAGTGAACTCTGTGTTTTAGAGGGGAACTAAAAAAGAAGAAAAGAAAAACCAAAACCCAGCCCCAAAACAGCAGCAAAGGAACTGCATGTGACATGTAAGCCAGCTGGAAAAGCCCTCTGACTCAGTCATGCAGCCTCTCTAGTTTTGTTTGGCTTTTGGGTTTTTTTTAGCTAAGGTCATACAGCACCAGCTCATGTCAGACAAAAGAATTGTTTTGGTCATTAAATCATTTCCACTGCTCCCTTCCTGTCTAAATTATTCATGTGCTGGAGCTGCTTGGAGCTGAATGGATATCTGAGGAGCATTTGACCGTCTTTCTTCAGGTATGTTAGAAACAAGACTGAAGTAATTTAGCAACTATTTACCTATGTCAATAGATAATAGCTATGTACATCTAGCAAAGTAATTTCCTTTGAAGGAAGGTGTGATTAATAATAAATTTCTATAAGGTTCATTCTTATTTTGTAAGATGACTTCCCCCTCTAATTCTGCCACAATTTTACATCTTTCAGGAAAGTGTTATAAAGTTAGCAGACTCCTCTCCACTGACGTACAGCCTTCTTTCCTCTTCCTTAAGATTTGTTTCAGATTAAAACTTTTCTGGCTATCACATGAACAAAATAGTGAAATATCCATTGGGACTTCATTTGTGTGTGTTTAAACTTGGTTTTCAAACTGGATATGAAGTGATAATTATGAGGTTTTACGAAGTGGTTCTCATTTTCAATGTACTACACAAAGAAAAACTCTGCAGTTTTCAATAGCCCTCCGAGGCAGAAAGGTAAGTAAAGTTTCATTATCCAGATTCTTGTCTCATAGCTGGGCCATAGAGATTCAAACCAATATTTCCATACACAATTCCTAGTGCCTGGTTGCCTATGCAAAAATAACCTAGTTTTCCGTTCTTAGTTGGCAAACTTCCACACTGCTTATGTATGGGTTTACAGTATGTAGGTTGCCCAGCACTCCTAAAAATGGACCTCCTTTAAAGCGTACCACCATTATGAAAACTTCTCCCTAATTTTCTCACAACCACATAGTGAATGGGATGAGAACTGCACTAGGCTGGAAGAGGACTTGGTGCCCTACGTTCTCCTCAGTGTGATAGGCCTGCCTACTTCAGGTATTTCTAAGTAAAAATCATTTTATCTGAGCTGATTGACTGTGGTCCTGATTCTGCACAGAATTACTTGCATGTGTAACTTCATGCATGCAAGTAACACAATTAGCTCCAGGGATACTGGGTGCAGGACAGATTAAACACATGCACACCTTTTTGCAGTATGATACATTAGCAAAAGCGAAGGAACTGTTAAATGCACTCCTTCCTTTGCACATCCAGTTGAATTTTGACACCAGAATATTAACTCCTTTAAACAATTATTTCTCCATACAAAACTGAAAAAGCAAGTACTTTTAAATAGCATCCTTTTTAATTTTTTTTTCTTTAAAGTAGACTGTACCAAGCTATTTAGAAGTATCCCTTAAGTGGTCAGCGCATGCAGAGGTGCCAGTAGAAAGGAGGGAGTTTTTCGCCGAGTGTTCACCCTGCGCAACCAGCTGCACGTGCAGTACCGTAACGTTGTCGCCATCATTTTTTCAAAGCAGCAGACGCAAAGGTTAATCGCTTGCATTTACTGCGCAGTTCAAAGTGACCTCATACAAAAGATTTAGCCTAACAGCTGCTTGAACTTTACAGTCTGAAATTTCATACCGTTTGTTGGAATTACCTTTTAATTAGCCCTTTGGGGGTATCTGTGGTGTTTATTGATTAATCCTTCAGTAGTTGTTTTTTTTAAATAACAGCTTAATTCTCTATGCTGTGCAACCCAGTCATGCTCTGCCATTCCCCCACCCTTCTTTTGCAGTGTTGGGTGGGAACAGCAGCACACAGCTAAAACAGGGAGAAGAGAGAGTTTCAAGCTGCTACTTCTAGCTGCTTCTACTAGCCTTACAAGTAAAAGTATTGCTTTTTTGGTGCAAACCACTGAGCCTAAATAACTTTTTCCTGCCAAGAGCCAGGCTTTTTAGCTTTGGTGCTGTGCTTCTCCTAATATGGCTGTGACGGTGGCTTGGGCTAACCCCACCAAGAGTGGCATTAACTGCCTGTCCCCACTTCCTACCTCTCTCCTAGGATGAGTAACCAGAAGACTGCAGTACAATGTTGAGTGTTATCAGCCCCTGAGGATTCTGGCAAGAGCTGAAGATAGCTAGATTTTGTTACTTCTTGCAGTTTCAGCAGTGCCAGCAGAGGAAAAAAAAAGGCATGTCCTGTTATGCTGGACACTGCAAAAACAGCCTTTTCCTGAGCAGAACAGATGAAGAAGGAAGAGCAAGAAGACCACAGAAGGAAAGGAGATTGGCGGGACAGGGACAGGGGAGGTGCAGTGGCAGTCTGGACTGTAACAGCCTGACTGCTGTGAAGGGGAGCAGCACTAGCGAGGGCTGCCAAGGAAGGGGCACACACAGAAGGCGTAATCAAATACCACCTTCCCCTGCATGTGCAGTCTTCTTGTTTCCAGGTGCAACTGTAAAGAGCTACAAGACATTTCAGAATTGGGTCTACCAGGTTTCCTTACAGTCTTTCATCAGGACAATGGCTTTTGGCTCCTGTTTGCTGCCTGGCCCTCCCAGATGCCACTGAACACAGAAGGACATGCTTCTGGAGGATCCCCACACTTTAGCCTGCTGAAACTGTTTTTGTTTTTGTTGACTTCCAACACTGCTTTGGGGGAGAATTTTATGGATCTAGTTAACCTCTCTGTTTATTCTTCCTCCACTCCCTACCCCTTCTGCTGAACTCTACCACGTCCACCAGATTGCATGGTTTGGCCTGCAATGAGCTCCCTGCTCTGCCTAGACTCTCTGGGAAACTTGGGGCCTTAAATAATTTGCATGGATCTGTTTGGAAAATACATGTCCTTACCCAGCCTTTGAAGCAGAAAGCAAATTAAAAAAAGAATAAGTTGACACCTGTCCCAGCTCCCATAGTAATGTTCAACCAAATGCATTGCTCTCTCCTGTCTGTCTCCCACCTGCACTTAGTATTTTGGAAAAAGGAGGAGGCTACAGATGCTGCACTTGCTGGTGGGCTGGTAGCCACATGTTCAAAACAACTCTTTCAGAGTCAGGTACCTTTGGGTTGCAGTTGTTATCAAGTCACTAGGCAGATGCTCATTGTTGTACCAGCACTGAAACTCAGATGCATTGCAAGCTTCAACCACAGAAGCCCTATCTAATAATGCTGTCTGTTGGTTTACTGGAGGGAATAATTTTAAAACGGTATCTGACCAAACTGCTGGGGAAGTCAAGGCTGTGGTCTTATGTTCTGTCAGAGATAAATTAACAGTTTTCACCCACCAAAAAAGGGGCTTTTTTCCTTTCCCTTCTCTTCCACTTCTCTCACATCACATGAGAAAGTAATTTAACTCTGTCATGCACAAAATCTTTATTCACAGATAGATTTTCCACTATTATAACAAGCAACAGTAAGTTGACTTAACAGGCAACCTGAGAACCACCAGGACTGGCCCTTGGTAAGCAGCAGGAGTGCACAACAGGGAGCAAAGAATGGGGGAGAACAAAACCTTGCTTTTTCTCCTGGTAATCTGGCTCACACCACAAGCCAAAACAATGCAGTGAGATGCAAATACATAGTGCCATACAGCAAGTCAACAGCCACTTCTTCAACCACTGAGGAACTCTGCCTCTTTTTCTATGAGAAATTTTACCTTGAAAGCACTGAACAGGACCTTCTGCTCATTAGCCCATTGAACCTTATAGCCTTCCTGCAAAGAGGTGGTCAGCAGGGCTCTCCTGCTTTGGCGATGGGAATTCTGAACCAGAGCAGCCAAGATGTGACTTTTACTTTGCAAAGAGATAACTCCCAATTTCTAGTTCTCCATCTGCCTTCAGTATACCCTGCCCTTATGCCCACCCTCACTGGCTAAATCTTCCTAAAGGATAGCAAGTGCTTGATATTTCTTCTATTTCATAGAAAGTAAATCAGCTCCTGTTTGAGGGGAGATTAACCAAGACATAATATCACTGATGTTGCAAGGTTTAAATACCATTTTTTGTCCTGAAGAAAAATCCTGAAAAGACTCCTCTTTGGACTGGTATTTGGCAGGCTGTACACATGGCATCACTTGAATTCCGATCCCTGGAGGCCAGCAAGAGTTTGATAGAAAAGCAGGCCAAGAACAATTCAGAGATCACAGATAGTCTGTCTACAGTGACATGGAAAATGCCTGTTCTCTGTGATCAGCTCAAATGTTTGCACTGCTGCCTTATCTCTGCTGCACTGGCAGGAGGATGCCTCTTCATAAAATAACCCAGTTTGCACAAGACAAGCCAGTATCAGGCAGGAAAGCAAAGCAGACTGCTCAAGTAACTTAAGCTTTTTTCTTACTTTATACCAAGATGCTGTCTGGTAGGTGATTGAAGAGTCCCGAAGAACTTTACAGGGCAGCAGCACTTCTTCAGCACATCTCACAGCAACATCTGGGACTGCCACAGAAGCCCCACGGATCAAGCACCAAACTGCAAAGCACAGGTACACATTGCCTTTTAAACAGATTGCCTAGGTAATCCTTCCTGTCTTCCCAGAACATATCCCCACAAAATAAATGTGGAGGTGGGAAAACCAAAAACACACCAAAAACCCAAACAAACAAATAAACAACCCCCCATACAAACAAACAAAAAACAGAATGACAAATGCAAGGCTCCCCACTTACCATTGCACAGGATGATGAGCAGAGCACAGACAACTGAAGACATGGCTTTTGCAGCTTCAGATCACAGAGCAGCAACAGCGTGCCTCTTCACAGGATGGGCCGTGAGAGCAGAGTGAAACTGCTACTGCTTCTAGAGGGATATTTCTGGAGGCAGAATGGGGAATCCCCCCAGATGACCTATGGTGAAGTTCCCCGTCACAGGGAAAATCCCTACGTGCAGGAGCCAGTGCTCCTCCCATTAAATCTGTTAGGTCACTCCCATTTCTGCAACTGCCGGCACTGGTAGTACCTCACCTCCTTTGTTTTCTTCTTTTTTCCCCTCTCTGTGTTGATTTGAACAGAAATAAGTTTGATCATGGGGCACTGTGGGTCAATGTGAAGGGCATCAAAATCAGTAATTAAAGAGTCTCTCTCGAGTGACAAAACAGCAGGAGAAAGGGTTTGTCAGCCTCTCAAAATCCCCTCTCAACCATCTTTCTGAAGCTCTAACAGAACAGTGTCTCTGCAAAGGTTGGCAGTGACATTTCTGAAACCACATTTAAGCTGTGAGGTCATAACAACACGAGGACACTGTGAATTGGGGCTAAGGGCTAAGCAGGAATTTACAGCATGGCTGAGCAATACAGTCTCTATTTCTGCAGTGTTACAGATGTAACTCCCCATGTAGGCACTCATGACGTAGAAGACACATTTCTTCTTAGTGTATTTTGTCCTTTTCAAGACAAGCAGGGACAGCTAGAGAGACATAATCCTACCAAATTATATGCTGGAAAATTTCCTTATGAAAAAAAATCAAGGCAGCTCACAGAAGAGGAGTCGTTTGGACATCCCCTCTAGATATCTGGGGGGGGAGGGGGGGGGGGAAGAAGTCCTCTCCTTGTGATCTGTAAGAGCTGTTTCCCTGTGGAGAATTTTTGAGGAAGTCTGAGGTTGATCACAGAAGCACTTACAAATCATGAAACTCTGAAAGCTGCTGACATGTTATTTTTTGACAACAATTCTGGCTGCTCTCTTTAGGCTACTGAGATCATGATGGAGAAATGACATTTAAGAAAGGTTTTTTTGAGTTTTGGTGGGTGAAGCCTGTGTGTTAAGCCCCTTTTGAAAACCAGGTTCCTGGAAGCCACATAAGTCTGGGCACCCTAAAGGCAAATCACCTCTAGAAAGTTTTGTGAGGGGTAGTCAGTATGAGAAGTCCTCAGCATGCAAAAGTCCAACTCAGATAGGTAAATGCCGTGGGTGGGTAACACTTTCAAAAACTCCGGTCTGTTCTGTTAGGGAAGTCAGACAATAATTTCACTGGGGGCCTCACTGTTGAAATAACCTATTTATTTTTAAAGCTTTTTGCTTCTGTCTTTGTTGACCTGCATAGTAAATATAACAGGCTTTAAGCTTTATTTTTCTCTTTGTGTTTTCTGGTTTCAAGGTCCCAAATCCATTACTTAGAAGATAGGTACAACTAAAATGTAAATCCCAATGGATGTCTAACGGGAGAGAAAATCCTGGACTCTCAGTTTTTTCTCCTGTGTGAAATAATACAGTCCTTGAGAAGACAGAAGAGGGGTTGCTGAAGGAAATCGTGAAGAGAAGAGGGCTCCAGTTAATATATTTCACATCTGTTCTTCACTAAAATGATGGTTCTCCTCCCACCATGAGTCAAGCCCACCTTCAAGAAGGGCACTCAGCTTTCACCCAAGTGCTTTTCTCTGCGAGTCCCACAGAGCTACTTATTTACCCTCCATAAACCAGTTAAGAGGCTAAAACCTTCTCTACCTCCCCTTTCATTGTGGGGAAAACCCCAGTGAGCAAACCACAGCTCCTGCCTCTGCTGTGGGATCAGCCCACAGCAATCGTCCCCAAAATGGCCTGACCAGATGTATCCATGGCATTCCTAAGCCTGAGGTCACAAGTTTGCCCACACAGAAGTGCACTGAAGGTAAGCATAAAGGGTCATGCTTCAGTTTGTTCTGGGAAACGTACATGCCACACATGCTTGCCAAGATGATGTTAAACAACATTCTTCTTTGGTTAATTAAGATACAGGACTTATGACTCTTAAAAACACACTGGTTTTCCCTCTAGAGCAGGCATAGCTTCAAGGAAAACAGCCCTTTTCCTCCACAAGTATTTGCAAACTCAGCTGCTGTTCCACAGCACAGTATGTGAGGCAAGAGAGCAAGATATGAAAAACAAAAACTGAAAAACCCATTGCTAGGGGAGGAGAAATCATTTTGCTTCTAAACTTTCCCTGGTTGGGATTTTTTCTTTAGGGAAACTTTGAACCAGGCTGTACTTTCCATCCTAATACCCCTTTTAATACTCCTTATATGGAGAGCAAGCCTATTATCTCCAGAGCCCTGGAAACTGCTTTGAGTTTTGCTCCAGTTCTCAGGAGTGGAAGCAATGGGAACTCAGTGGGATGGGTTTGGGTGTGGGAGTGAAAAGACAGTAATTGCCTGTCAGCCTTCTCTGTGAGAAACAGATCCATAGCTTTGCAGGGCCCTCAGGAACAACAGGAGCTCCAGAGTGATGTGAATAAGTGGAAGTTTGTTGTTAAACACGTTGTCCTGTGGATCTAATGAGACCTGCTTTCCTACAGGTGTGTCCTACTGTGTCTTCCTCTCCTTCCCTCACCTGTGCCACTCGCTATGCCAACCGTAACCCATCTTTGTCGCTGAGCAAGAAGCACCATCTGCTCTGGTGAGTCCAGAGAGGCACATGTGATGACTGACATTAGCAAGCAGCATGTAAAATTGATGTGTTTTGCCTACCTTTCCCTTAGCAAGGGCACTCGTTTGGGTCTCCATCTTTGACCCAGCTGCTGATTTTCATGAAATTCATAGGCATTTAATTCTCACTGAGCCCCAATCCCTCTGTCAGTTTGATAGAAAGCAGGTTCAGAACATACTGGCTGATAGACAGCCAGATGGTGTGATCGCAGAAATTTCGTTCTATGTGGCAAATGGGGCTAGAAGCACAAGGATGTGGGATGGATTCATGGGATAAGGTTAAAAAGTCAAGACTGTATACTTTTCTCAGTGTTGATAGAGCCTTAAGAATGCTGTTTGTGGAATCATATCCTTTTTCCTTGAACCAGGTAGGTACTGGCTCCCTCAGATACTCGGGTAGTGGACTTTTCTTATTCTTTATTCTATTGTGTGGCTGCAGAAGATATGTAAGATTCCATATTATTTCATGTATTTGCCTCTGAGTGCCTGCATTCATCAGGAAGCAAAGAGTTTAAAAACCCAGAATCTTAGGTCTCTACACAGAGTACAGAGTTCTCCACAATGAAGAATCAAAGGTGAAGACAGAGGTGTCAGAACAGCATTTAGCATTTCTGGCAAGGCATGCATTTTTCTGTACTGGGATACAATTACCAAATATCCATTGTTCCACTGTGTTTAGGTTCCTACTTTGAATAAGGTGTGCATCCATGTGTCTTATGTCTATTGTGAAGCCACTGGAGAGGGGGTTGTTTATTTATTTTCATTATTATTAATCTCCTGTGCAGCAATAAAACCTGTCTGCTGCAGTTCAACTGACAAAACCAGAAAGGCTTTTGTTTTATGTTTTAGTAGACAACCTTTTTTAAAATAATATGCTGTGTATAATGTGGCAATGTCAGCTGAAGGAACAGTGACAGAAGAATCCACAAATGCAGAGCAGTCATCTATTTTGAGGGGCCCAGCAGAGCTGCAGTCATAGTGTTTACTTTCCTGTCATGCTAGGATCTTGACGTTCACCATACCAACAGTTAAAAGCAACTGAGAGTTTCCAGGTTGCAGCTAATGAGAGGTAGGTAGGTTATGCACAAACTGGAGTTAGGAAAGCTTAAGGACAAAGTTTTCTTCTCTGCCCCTTCATAGCAGATGTTGTGTCAGGGTTTGCCTTTGCTGTTTAAACAGTGGCAATCCAGCAAGACTGAGAAACCAAAACACTGAAACAGTGACCTGCTGAGCAACACAGAGCTTTGTGCCACAGACTGTCTTCTACTGCCAGTTCTATAAATAACACCCAATTAATCACACACAAACGTCCGCTCCTTTGAAACACCTGGACTTTGGAGTGAGCCGTTACAGATATGCCAATTTGTCAAAGTAGTGATTAAGCATACTCATATAGAAATTGAAATGTGACGCAAAATACAGACCCAAAATAGAGGTATCCAAAATCAAAAGCCTCTTTAGAAACTGTTGATCTGGGAGTTGTGGAATTGCCTTTAAGCAAACAGAAGCAAAAGCTTATCCTATGTCTATACATGCAACTAAGAATTGGAATAAGGCTGTATTGAAGCTCCATCTAGTCCAGCACCTTGTCTCAAACAGCAGGCAGTGAGCTATAAGGTAGTGAAGCAGGCCAAGGTGCTGCATTCAAACTGCAGTGTCTGCTGGAGGTGTAGATTGAAATCTCATTTTTAACAGGTCCTTGGTTCTTCTTTTATCATCAGCATGCTATATGACGCTGGGATTGCCAGGACTAGGAACAGCTTGGACCATGGTTTGCAGATTTCAGTGGACTCTCTGTTGCTCCACCTCCATGTAGAGTCATCCATGCTGCCTTCTCCAGAAGGTAAGGGGCAGATTATTGCCTGGTGTCTTTACTGAATTCTGCAACAGTAGTCCCCATATAGTCCCAGACTTGCAGAGCTCCTTTTTGGTCCTTGCATCTCCTTACCACACCCAGCCAGACACTGTTTTATTAGAGATCTAATGTTCAGCTGGTTTGCCCCAAAATCATGTTGTCCTGGTGTTTCCCTCTCTTTTCTCTTACCTGTACATCCTCCTTAGACACACATGGTATGGGTATTCTTACATTGGAAGAGAATGAAGGAACCCAGTAGGTCACCTTGTTCTCCTAACTGATCCCATGGCCCATCAGAAATCTAAGTCAGGGAACACTCCTGGGAGCAGCCTGTGCTAGTAGCAGGTCTCACAGGATGCCCTGATAATTCTTCACCATTCGCACAGACCAACTGCGCCAGGCTGTGGCCCCTCTCCTGGTTCCTCCAAGACCTCTTGTGGGTTTTTTTATACCTTCCCCATCTAAGATCC